CAGCAACAGCAACAGCAACAGCAACAGCAGCCACAGCAGCACCAGCACCAGCACCAGCACCAGCAAACTTTCACCACGCCCCCTCGTCAGCCCGCTTCGCTCCGTTCGCCCACCATTCTCACCTCCGACCTCCCCGGCCAGCCCGGCTTCTCCTCCCAAAACCACCCACACTCCCCCAACTCGCTTGGTCAAAGCGCCGCCGCACGCTTCGAGCGCTTCTTCCCTTCCTCCCCCAACACGTCCAGCTCCAACCCTTCCTCCGCAGGCCAAACCTTCACCAGCTCCATCGGCTCCGCCGCCGGTCTCGCCACCAACAGCGCCTTTGGCTCCTTTGGTCACAGCCTCGCTCCAGGCAGCATGAACGCATCCAGCATCGGCTCCGGCCACTTTGGCTCCTCCCACAACGGCCCTCGCAAGGCTTCCAGCCGCGCCGCCATCCCCGCACAGTGGAGCTCCCAAGACCCCTCCGCACTCAGCACCGCTCCCTCGGGCACATCGCCACCCAAAAGCAACAACCCGCTCCTCCAAGCCTACCCCGCACACGACGCCAACGCACTCGCATCGGGCGACGACGACGTCATCCCCACCGCCATCGTCGTCAAAAACATCCCCTTCAGCGTAAAGCGCGAGCAGCTCCTCGAGATCATCGGGGATCTCGGTATCCCCATGCCATACGCCTTCAACTACCACTTTGACCAGGGCATCTTCCGCGGCCTTGCCTTTGCCAATTTCCGCAGTGCAGAGGAGGCCGATGCCGTCGTCGCAGCGCTCAACGGCTTCGACGTGAGCGGTCGCAAGCTGCGCGTCGAGTACAAAAAGGTGCTCCAAGCCGGCGAGAAGGAGCGCATCGAAAAGGAAAAGGCCATCAAGCGCATGCAGAGCATGCAGCTCGAAAAGGAGAGGGAGCGCGAGCGTCGTCGTCATCAGGACGATTATGCCGCCAACGCCTACCTCATGCCCGGCTTTGGCAGTGCCAACGCCGCCGATGCATATGCGCTCGATGCCGGCGCCCACCAGCCAGCTTTTGAGCAGGGCGTGCGTGCTCCGCTCACCGCAGACTCGCTGCGCAAAGTGCCATCGTCCCAGCACCTCTCGGCCGGCGCAGGTCGTCCTGCCGGTCCACCTTCGTCGTCCAGCAACCCCACCGCCGCGGCGGCCAACGGTGCCGCTGGCGCTGCTGGCGCAGCATCGGCAAAGAAGGAGGAGTTGGATCTCAACGATGCTGCGACGCTCGAGATCTACTCGCGCGTGCTGCTCTTCAAGGACGACCGCATGCGCGACGAGCTCGCCTTTTCGCGCAGCCTCACGCCCATGGAGCGTCGCACCGTGCATCTCGTCGCCCAGCGACTCGGGCTCTTCCACTACTCGCTCGGCGACGGCGACGAGCGCTACGTGATTGTGACCAAGAACGAGGTGAGTGCGCCCGCGAGGCCGTTGCGCTCGCAGGCGTCGACCATCGGACGCACGCATCGCACAGCAGGCTTGGACGGCGCCTCCACCGGCGGCTTCTTGGGTCCGGGCAGTGCAGCTACGACGGGTCGTGCCGGACTGCGCATGAAGAAGTCGGCGCCCGATATGAAGCGCGGTCTTGGCGGCGATCGCGATGGTGCCGGCTACGCCAGTCACGGTCATGGCGCAGGAATGGGAGGCGCACTGTCGGCGCACCGATCCAACACCAACCTCAGGGACGGGTATTCGTCGACCATGGGGCGTCGGACGCAGGCGAGTGCTGCGGGTGGGGCCGCGGGTTTGCAAAACTTGTTTGCCCAGTCTGATGCGGCGCCGTCGTCGCAGAGCGGCACCGAGTCGTCGAGCCACAACTCTTCGCCCACGCATTCGAGCCTGCTACGTCAGCCTCGCGGCCCGCCTGCGCCGGGTACGGATCTGCGCAACTTTGCGGTGAGGTCCAGGGTCTCGACCAACTCGAGCAACAGCAGCGCCCTCCCCGTCGTCACCCCACCCACTGCGCCCGTGGGCGGCTTCCAGCTGCATATCAATGGAAGCCCCTCCAAGGCTCACAACGCATACCCCGGCTTGGACCACCTGGAAGCCACATCGCACCAGCCACTCGAGTTTTGAGAATCTGCATCATTCGTTCGCATCATTCAATCCAATTCAGCATTGTTCAGGTTACGCAACTTGCAGGCTGCGACAGCCTCGGACGCTTGAGATAGCCTGATGCCGAGCCAAGACGCATTGAGAGTGCCGAGTGCATTGCACAGCGGCGGTGCAACATTGACGCATAGAGTCCTAGATGTTCGAAGCTCGCTCAATGCACTGCAGTTTCGCCTCAAAGCACGCCATTGTCATAAGAAAGCTTTGGGCATAGTCAGCAGGCTACAGCACCCGCGCACGCAGCGGACGACGATGCGAAGGCATATGATTTTGATGCAGCAGCGAACGGTATGCAGCTTCTTGTCGGTGACGTCCGGCTATGTGAAACGGCTGGCGAGCGAGTTGGACTGGATGCGTTTGAGCAGTTTGGGCGCGGCGTCCGAGTCCATACGCTGCGCAAGCGGGGGGCTATCGTCCCACCGCCCATCGGAAGCGGGAGCCTTCATCCTTCCTCTACCCTTGACCCTGACGTGGCTAGACGAGGGCGAGTCGCGGCGCGAAGGCGAAAGTTCGCGCTCGTGGTGGCGCTGACGTGCGTGTCGGTCGAGCTCTTCGTCCATCTTGGTGGCCGACGGTCGCGATCGGCGACCCCTACGTCGGCTATCCTCGTTGGCCAAGTAGGCGTCGTGGCCCCATCGACCGCTGTCGGAACGTGGCTCGCGGCGTCGGCTGCGCGCGCCAAGACGGTCCATGAGATCGTCGTCGCCACGCGCAACCACGTCGGCCATCATCTCGCCCGGCTTGCGCTCCGGCTCATCCGTGCGCGATGCCACGTGTCGATCCAACTCCGAGTCGAGCTCGTCGAGCATGGATCTGCGTTCGTCGCGACGCCGCGGCGGCTCGGACGACGACGGCTCGTAGCCCGGAAAGAGCTCCTTGGTCTCAGCCACTTGGCCGACCTGGAGCAGCTTGGGCACGATCTCGCGTCCGGCGTCGTAGCCGTGTCGCTTGTACCACTGGCTGCGTGTGGATGCGCGCGACTCCTTGCGGTCCACGTCGGTGACCGCGTGACGCAGCCACAGCACGGAGCGCAACTTGCGCAGCTCGCGCACCTCGCGGCTCTCGAGCTTGTTCCTGCGCTCCTCCTGCTCCATCTCGCGGTAGATCTCGGGCACGTCGTCTGGCAGCTCGGACACCGCCGCTTCCATCTGCGTGCGCGACTCTTGCTCGGCGAGCGCAGCCTGTCGCTCCACGTGCGTGTACAGCTTGGCCGGTACGCGGTGTGCCTTGCGCGGCTGGACGAGCGACGTGATGAACTCCGAGTGCCACGAGTCTGGATCGTACTCGAGCAGCGTATCTATGTTGGGCAGCGGCGTCACGTCCGACTCGACGGGCTGCATCTCATCGCTCGCGGGCGAGGGGCAGAGATACTCGAGCGCAAGACGTGCCGATCGCTCGTCGGCAAACACCACTTTGCAGCGCTGGTCGTCGATCCACTCGAGGCCCAACGGCTGTGCTCCGTAGTGCGTGAGGTAGGCAAACAGGCGCGAGGTGGACAGCTGCGTGATGGGCGCGCCTTCGATGAGCAGCGTGTCGAGCCGGATGTCGCTGCCGCCCTCTACGGCAGGCGGATCCGGAGACTCTGTGGGCTCTTCGGTTCCCATGAGTGTGATGTCGTCTAGGGTGGGAGGCTCGTTGCCTGTGAGTGGGGCCGGTCCGCGTTGCGCGCCTGCTTCGACCGCCTGGTCGGTGGGGAGGGCGTAGAAGCGAGAGTTGGAAGCCTGGTCGGGTCGGGAGCCGTCGTCCATGGCTTCGTCCTGCATGGGAACGGCGGCAGCATCGGCTGCAGCGTCGGCCTCTGCCGAGCCGTAGTCCAGCGGAATGTCTGCCATGATGCTCGATCGAGGCTCGAAGATCGAAGCTCTACTATGGTGATGGATGCTGAAGGATGTGCGCCAGCGTCGAGGCCCTGCATCGCATGACAGGGTCGCGCGCGACCGACGTCTCGCAAAAGTCGACTTTCGCATCCCGATCGCATCCCGATCGCATCC